GCCGGGATGTTGGAGCTCCCACTCCCTGTGGTGCCGGGATGTAGGAGCTCCCACTCCCTGTGGTGCAGGGATGTAGGAGCTCCCACTCCCTGTGGTGCCGGGATGTAGGAGCTCCCACTCCCCACAGTGCAGGGATGTAGGAGCTCCCACTCCCTGTGGTGCAGGGATGTAGGAGCCCCCACGGCGAGCGGGGCGCGCGTGTGGGGAGGCTGAAGCGCGGGCAGCCCCGGGCACACGGCTCTGCCCCCCTCCTGTCGCCAACGTCTCGCTGGGTTTGGGGCAGCCTGTTGTTACAGCCATAGGGCAGGAAGGAGGCAGAGCACAACTCTCCTGCATTCCCCTTGTTTCACCCTCTGGGCTGTTATGGGCTGCTGTCAGCAACCGGAGGCACCCTTTTTGCTGAGGACACCGCATCGTGGCTGGGTCATGCACAGAAACCCATAAAGAGAAGGAGTTTTCCCATGTTGTCCTACCTTGCATGCCTCCTCTGGAACCGTCACAATGTGATTCCCATTTTATCCAAAACATTTGATAAACCCAAACAGAATAACAATGTTCTCATGAGGCTAACACAAATTATCCTGATAGTCACAGTCTTTTTGCACTGTTTCCAATGTATTTGCAAAGGGGAGAGCATTAAATCACAATGCTCTATTTCATCTGAAAATATATGCATAAATGCAAAGGAATTCCTCAATGCAGCCACTGAGGAAAGGTTCATTTTACAGCAGCAGCCTCAATTATGCTTGACATCCATAGCTAAGTACTTCTGTTTCAAGGGCTTTTTTCACCAGCACCATTACATTCACATATAAAATGTGTGACATTCTGCCCCTTTTACAGCTTTACATGAACATTAACTTTAGGAATTTGGTTTTCCTGTTCTGCCCTTTATAACAATTTCTGCCAGCATTAACATAAATGTACTGACAAATTTGGTGCAACAAGCTGAAAAGGTTTGTTCCTTACTGTTTTATCAGAAAACTAATGCAACAAGAATTGGACTATTCACAGCCGCATAATTGCAACCACTAAAGTTTTCTGGTCTTTGCATACTCCGCTGTGACATAAAGAATTTACAGTGACTTCTATTCTCACGGAGGAAAAGTAGCCTGTCCCTGCTCCCATTAATATGGAGGACCATCTGAAGGAACTCTTTAGTTAGCGGGGTCCCATGAGCACAGAGACCAATGCAGCTGTAACAGGCTCCAAGACAAGGCTCTTGCCTAGACTGTCTTCCTGGACGTGCAGATGTGGATGCAGGATGTGCAGAGTGACAAGGCCAAAGGATGGCGATGGACCCTTGCCTTTTAATGGTACCCGATACAGACTCCCAGGATGGCTGAGGTTGGAAGGGACCTCTAGAGACCATCTAGTCCAACCCCCTGCTCCAGCAGGGACACCCAGAGCACGGGGCACAGGGCGGCATCCAGGTGGGTTTGGAAGACCCATCATTGAATACACCGGTTCCATTTAGATTGACCTGTGCCAGGTCCTGTATCCTGCAATCTTGTTAACTTTTCCTTCTGGAAGAAGCATCTTCCTGCCTGGAAGCAGTGGCCAGTTCAGTGGAGCACATGAGGAGGCACCCGGCTGCTGCCCTGGGGCTGGCTGCAGGCGTGGGGTCCAGGAGCTGCCTCCTTCTCGTGTTGCACCATGTTCAAAACTCCCCCTTGACCACAGAAAATGAAACCAGGCCACTATGTCCCAAGAGAAAATCCCTTTTGTCCTGATAAAACCCAAACTTCTCTGGCCACTGAAGGAAGTATGGACAGGACTTTTCAGAGTGGCCCTATAGAGAGTGTTGTGGAAATCAAACCAGACCAGAGCTTCAAAGAAAGAAAAATCAGTTTAAAAAACATGATCAGACGGCAACAGGTCCTTTCCCCATAACTGCCCCATTCTAAAATGTATCTGGGAAAAGCAGAAACTTTGCTCAAGGCTATTGCTGATCACTTGTTCCAGTTCTGCTCGATGACGCTGTTACCAAAACAGTTGTCAATCCCCCTTACACAAGAAGTTATCTACAGCCTATCCTGAACTTGCAAAACCGTGACCTCTTCTAAGGAAACCACAACCCACCATAGAGAGCTGGTATTCATTGTCACTTTCCTTAAAAGTTCTTTATAATAAATGAACATTTGGGGTAACTGAACTGGACCCCTTGGACAGTCTGGCTCATGCTCCTGTGTACAAATGCTCAGTCAGTTGAACCTCTGCCTCTGCTCCAGATATTTTGTCTGTCTTAAGAGGCATCAATGGTCAAAGGAAACACTTGGAAATCATGCAGGTTCCTCTTCTTTACAAGGCTGTTTTGGGCAGATATTTTTCTGCCTCCTAAGGCCTCACATGTGCAGTCTCTGTAAGCCGAATACTCACTCTTGGCATTTCCCAATTCTATTTAAAGCCATTCAGCACAAGTGGAGGAATCTGCACTTAGGGGGCAATACTGCCTCCACATATAAGACTACCAGTCCTGTTTTGCTTAATAGTTAGTCAAAATAATAATCCCACAAAGCGATCCCAAGGGCAGAATCTGACAGCAGAAATTTTGAAAAGGAAACCTGGCACACATATGTAATGATTAAAGTGATTAATCATTTTAACAGTTTATCCAAGGATGTGGTAGATTATCTGTCAGCCGAAGCTGTTAAATCAGTATTTTTTTTTTCCATTGGATGTGCTTTACCCATTCACAAGATAACTGCAGAGCAGTGCAGGAATGGTTAGGGAAGTCCTAGCATCCCCATCACGCAGAAGATCAAACTGAGCTAGAGCGGCCCCCTCTTCAGTTTCATTTTTCCCTGACTCCCAGACATCTGCTGGCCCGTGGCACAGCAGGTAACTGGGATGAATCCTGGCAGGGCTGCTGTGACGCTTCCTAAAGACACAGCGTCCCCTTGGGCACCATCCCAAGGGTGGGATGAGGCCACTGACCTGCGCTCTCGAGGTCCTCCTCAGCGCCACGGGGCCGGTAAGCAGCGACGGCCGCAGCGGAGCGCCACGGTCTGTCCTGCCAGACCCGTGCGGCTGCGTGTGGAGGGGCACTGGGAGGGCGCGCGATGGCCCCGTGGACACCCTGCACACATCCCCGTCTGCCCGGCCCCACGGCACATGTTGCACACATTCCCGTCTGCTCCATCCCCACAGGACACCCTGCCTGCATGCCCATCTCCTCCATTCCCCCGGGACACCCTGCCTGCATCCCTGTTTGCTAAAGCTGCCAGCCCAGGACACCTTGCACGCATCCCTGTCTGTGCTGGCCCCACGGGACACCCTGCCCACATCCCCATCTCCTCTGGCCCCCAAGCCAGCTCTCTGGAATGAGGCTGCCCTCATTCCCATCCCCGGAGCCCTGGTCCCCGGGGCCTGTGCAACGGCCTCTTGCTCCTCTTGGCTGAAGCCAGCAATCCCCGGAGAAAGGGCTCCAAGGAGGAAATTCTTCCACAGAGCCAGCAGCTCTGCCTTCTTCTGCTGGACCCGCAGGGAACAGTGAAGCTATTGATGGCTGGCTTGGCCTCTCCCCTCGGCACGCATCTGCAGGCACCTGGGCCCGGCGGGGGGATTTGTGCATTCCAGCCGTCCGCGGAGAGCTTCCGCAATTCCCCCAGCGCCCCGTGCCCAGCTGTGGGCAACGGAGCCGCCCGCTCTTGCTCCAGAGCATCCTGCCCGTGGCCGGAACGCAGGGCAGGCGCCTGCGCCCAGCGCTCTCCCAGCAGCTGGACCTGGGGGCTTAAGCTACAGCCCAGACCCACACAGAGTCCAAATTATTCACATTATTACTATTATTATTATTATTATTATTATTAGCTACTCTTTCACCAGCACTGGCTGCAAGCTGCATGGAAACCCCCGTGCAAAGTCACACACTCCGTTTGCACAGTCACGACTTCATCCCCTCCCGTCTGCCCCAGTGGGCCAAAAAAATAATAACAATGTGTATGAATTCAACCATCTCTTGTAGACCAGGAGATCTTCTTCCTGCTGTGCTAAACAAAGACTTGCACTGTACATTAATCCTACTGGAAAAAGGCAATGACCACAGCTGCAAGGATGACTAACAACTGACCCAGACTATTGCAGATGGCAAACAAATTGTCTCAGAAAAATCTGTGAAGTTAGCTCTTTTTCCAGGCAGCTACTGTATATGTGAAAATACAATTCTAAGGAGAAGGAAATAAGGATTTTTACTTACTGATACAAGAAATAAGATCATTAAATCTTTCCTTAGGAAAGACAGGATTTTCCAGCCCTCGGAAATAGAGCTTCAGTACTCCAGCAACTGAGTTAATGTCATGGTTACTTTGGTCATCTGCCAAAGGATTTTCACCTAAAAAAAAGTAAATAAAACAAGTAAAAGACACAAACAGGAGAATTCTTGCACGCAACGTTTGTATAAGGGAGTGACATTTGGGGGTTTTTGCTTGTGCTGTGTGGGAGGTGGCAATGCAAGCATTCGAGTAAGATAATAAACATTGATCCAGAAATCCCAGCCTGTGATTAAACTGAAATAGCAGCATGAGAAAAGCTTTCTTTAAACTACACAACCCAGTGATCTCTTAGGCCCTGAAGGTCCAACAATGCATTTCTGGACATGTCATCATGTGTCATTACTAAAATAAAGAACAAATGTTCTTAATTGAAGAGGCCTTCTCGGATTATTCTTTGGGTCCTTACATAAAGCAAATAGAATAAAATAACTCTTCAATCTGCAAATTTTTCTACATTCATTCTAAAAAAACCCGTACCATTCAGAAATACATTCAACAGTTTTGTGGCACAATGCAGGGAAACTGAAACCCTAAAGCCCATGACTGGACTATGTGTATTTTAGAGACTTGATCTTTATTTCGAAGCACTTCTTTGAAATGTAGGTACCTTTCAGAATCAGGCTACCCAGCAGAAGCAGTTAACCATCAAGCAGATGTAAAATGAAAACAAAAGAGAGTGTGGCTTCATTTAGCATGTAAAAAAAGCTGCCTCCTATATTCTGTCAAGGACTAGATCAGGTTTAACAAAATACATAGCTAGTATCGAGGAGGAAAACATTGAGTGTATTTTTTCATGCTATCAGTCACAAGTCTTATTGCTCCAAGGGTTTCCCATTAGCAGACGATCTGCAAAAGATCTGGAAATTAAAATACAGGTTCTAAAATCCAAAGAAGTGGACATAAAACTGAAAAACAATGTAATGGGTATTGTTTAAACGCAAGGAATCCTTGTGTTCCTAGAGGATTCCTGGATCGTGGCTGCGCTAGCAGAGCAATCCTAGGCTTGGTGTTGCCAGTTATTCAGGCTTCAAAAGCTATTTTTGCTTCCTGGTATCCTTCCCATGATTCCTCCTCTGGTGTGGAAGTTTCCTTCAGGAACGAAAGCAGTGGTTTCAAGGAATGAACATGGAAGTGGCTCTTTCACAACCTGTTAGGGCTCTGACCGTGATGTTGCTTTGGCAGAGGGACTCGCAAGCCAAGCGCTCCTATTCCACAAGCTCAAATAACAGCGGGCTCAAATTGCATTAAGTGGTCTCTTGAATGCCATTAAAAGGCTAATCTTTCCTTTTTGAAGATCTTCAAAGTACAATACAGACAAAAGTGTTCCTTGCAGTTTACCATGAACAATATAATGAAGTCTGCAGTTAATTCAGTGTCGTAAGGCCTTGGCTACAGCAAGGGTAGGATGTAACCTCCAGCTCCTGAGGCTTTGCAGGAGAAAAGCCTTTACCCATCATCATTAGACTTTCTTAGGAATATGATGGTGCAAAGTTTTAGATGCAGTACACAAAGTGCATGGCAATTCACTCAGAAAGCCAAGAAAGTAATTAGAATTTAACAGATTTTTTAAGTGTCACATATTAAGGTGCTTGAATATATGAAAATGCAATTACCTCTCTCAAATGAATTTTTAATATCGTTGACTTCCACCTGGGAACCAGACACTCTAAAAATTCCTTGATGCTGAAGACCTGAAGCAAAGATGGGAGAGAGTGGTGAGAAATGAATCTATTTTTCAGTTTGACAAAGCTGTAGCAGTAAATGCAAAAGACACCTGAAATAGCCAGGAGATTAAAGAAATGTCATAAAGTGCTTTAGAGCTCACCATATAAATTGATAAATCTGATACAGCTTTCCACAATGAGAGGAATGACTTGTCCTGAATCCTGGAAAGACAGAAGCAGAAACGTGTACTGCAAATGTGAAAGAGGAAACCTCCCTACCCGTGACTGAACGTGAAAATTAGTTTTCTTATCAGTCCAGATGGACATACAGTGCTGACAAAACGCCCCCACAACGCCACAAAATCATTTCTGACACAATTCTCTTCCCATTAGGGGGAGGGAGGGAAGGAAGAGGTGGAAAGAAAGGATTAATGTTCTTAATGAAAAGCACTGAATCAGGAAACCTGCAGCCTTCCTTCTCTGTCTCTGCCATTGTATCTGCCTAACACTGCATGTATGTGTAAGCTCAGGCACTCGGTTTAGACTTTGGAAGCAAAATGAGTAAAAGTGGTGAACTTCTCCTTCTGAAATTTAATGTTAATGGTAATAGTGCAACACGAAGATGATCTTTCTGCATTTATCTAACTTACCTTTCTTCTCCTGGTGGGGAAAGTCTTACATGCTAAGGGCCTAATTCATGGAGATGATGGGAGGAGAGGGGAAAAATGTGCTCACAAAAAACAATAATGCTTTAATACAAGAAATGCTTGTAGTGGTAGGGGGATGAGTTGATCATACACTGATTTTCAGTGAATGATTAGCCCTTCTTTTTAAACCATTTTTTTTTCCAAAAGAATTGTCACAGTCCTTTGGAAGTGTGTTGGGCACTTTAAGAAACAGTGTTTCACCCAGTGCACATTAATGACTCTCAGTCATCAAATATCTATTAAAGACACAAACCATATGATTAAAAATTATTTAGCAAAGTTAGTGCTTCTGCTGGAAAAACACTTTTTCATAAATAATAGGCACCTTGAAAATTCTTGTCTTGAAAGCTATAATTTTTCTTTCCAAAACAAATTTCAAATATGCAAGCACTCTGAAAACTAATTCATCCGTAAGTTTAATATAAAAACACTCTATACTACAAAACTATGAATTTTAAAAGAACCTTGTAACTCAAAACATGTTTTTTTTTAACTTATATACTAGTTCTTCCCTTTCATGCTGATTTACACTAATGGGAAGATCATGAATTAAGCCCAAGCAGGGAAGCCAACTATTTTATATGTTTGAAAAACTAACACGCTGAGGCACTGAAACAACACACTTCCTGAGACAACTTCACCCCTGACTTTCTGTGTACTCCTCGTTGCTTTAGCAGGGCTTACAAAAGACTCAAGTAACTATATTACTTGAACTGTGACTTGATTGTTTGTCATTTAAGTTTAAACCTAACAAAAATCACCTAGCCAGAGTCAAGAACATGTGGACCAAAAATTTCTATTTGGGCTGTGTCTTGATTCAGTATCAGTTGAATTAAAAAAAAAATAGGGAAAGAGGAGAAGGAATATGTCAACTTCTAAATTAGGAATATTGTCATCTTCATATACATTGAACCCTCTGACATCCCAAACCCACCGCCCAAAACATTAGAACATGTGCTCAACATGCACTCACATCTCCTGTTAGTGCACTGACTCATGCAAAGGCTGGAAAACCTCTGAAAAGAGAGTTTGCAGTAAGAAATTACCAAGAAGAAAATTGCTCTCTTGAACAGACGTTCAAAGCTATGCACTAACGTACAGTTATCCAAGACTCTTCTGTAATCTAAACCACCAGCTTTGGGTTTTGGATCTAATGACAGGGACCTAATCTGAAGGAACAATCTGTGTGGGTGAGATGTCCAGAACATGAACCCTGCTGCTGCTGCGAAGTTAATCTGATGTAATCAGTGAATGATCACTCATTTACTAATGAGTATTTTGATGCAAAAATGCAGTGCAAAGCCATGTGGTGCAATGCTGGAATTTACTCACTGTCATCTTTCATGCCTGTCAGAATGACTCATCCCTAGGAAGAAGGACAAGGTCTTTGGCCACGGAGGCTTTGCAGAGTTTTAATTAGGCAGGGCTCTCTCCACTTGCAATAAGCTCACCCCTCTCGTGCCAGGGAGAACTCTTTGCAAGGAGAGAGAACAGGATGAGGTAGCATTTCTTCCTGCATCATCATTTGTGCTTTTCTAAAAATGGGATTTTTGCTGTGGGAGTTTCTGTTTCTTTGCTTACTTTCATCTTTTAGCAGGAATTGCTTATGACACTCTCTCTTGCACCGAGGATGCAGCACCTGCATAACAGCAGTCGTTCTTCATGGAGTTTCACTGAGGCTGGCTGTAAGCTCCATTCAAAGGCAGCTAAACGGGTATGGGACCACAGAAGCCAGAACTTGGCTCTGCAAAATACTTGCTGCCAACAACGCTTCACAGCAGGAAAAAAAGATTCCATACAACATGCAAACCCCGTCAGAGAGCTTACAGCTAGAATCTCAGTCATTCAATTTGTAAAATTTGTGTATTGAGCTAGAATCTCAGTCACTTAATTTTTAAAATTTGTGTATTGATACGTACTTTCTGAAGATTTTTTTCTCCTTTAACATAGTATTCTGATCACAGGAACAGTAATTGACTGTGGTGAGCAGGTGCTTGTTAGAGAACAAGGATATATCCATCATTTAAGACGTCCATCACTCCACAGTCATGCTCTGGTTCAGTTTTGCCTGCTGTAGTCATACCCAATGACTATATGAGTCATATACTCATTCCTTAATGCAAACTTCTCCTTTCAGCTCAGTGAAAGAACTGATGTTGAGCCAGGGGTGAATGCAGCGCGACGGCGAGGCGGGACGGGTCTCTTTCCACCAAACTATACCTGATGTCTTGTGTGAGAGTTCCTTCGGCCCCGGCTAGAAGCATTATTAGGAACAAAAGTAGGAAAAAGAAGAAGATAGTAAATACAGAAAAGGTATAAGAACCAGAATAGTGGTGATCACAATTTCACACAATATAATAAATTCCTCAAGTCACAGGAAATCTAGAGCTGGATATCAAACCTGCTTCTGCACAGGCTTTGAATGCTGAACCTAACTAAAATGTCAAGCTTAAACAGGAAGTTTACTAAGCTGTGGGATGCACCACTACTTCCTATATTCTAAATGATGCTGCGGTCCCCAAACCCAGGTTGCCAAAGTTCTCTCTACTTGATTAACAAAATTGCAGTGAGTCTCGTGTGAGGAACAAAACCTCGGCTTTCCCTCTGACTTCAGGAAGTATTATATGGATCAACCAGGAAAGGAAAGAGCCCCAGGACAGACTTAAACATAATGATCTGCCTCAGCTCACGTGAGGTCTTGACCATTATAGTAAGAAGCGTCGAGATCAGCCACTCGGGTGGCTGGTGCCAGTACCTTAACGAATGTTTCCAAGTCACCATTAAACAACTTAGCACTATACTGGGACCGGGGTCTGGGCTTCCTGTGTTTCTGGGGCTTAGGGGGAAGATTTGGAGGCCTAAGGGAAGGGAATATCATTACTGAGCAAGGCAGAATTAAGTCACACAATAAAATGAAACGTCTGTAAGCTCATGGCAAAACAACAGGACATTGTAAAGGGAGAAATAACGACAGTACTTCGCAAGCAAAGGCACTGCATCAAATTCAAGTGTAACAGTGACTACAGAACTCTTCCATTAAAAGTACAATCCTTATGGATAACTATGACATTCCCGATGAATCCCTGGTACATTGTTTTATCATATACAGATTTTGCAAATGTCACACAACTGGAATGGCCTCTTGCTGTTGCTGTCATGCCCGCTGCAGCAGAGCACAGGGCTTTCTGAGCACCTTCCACCAAGCAGGACGGTTGCTTCATGCTGGAGAAGCTCAAACGCAAAGTAAAGCTGCTCAGCACGCGCTGCCTTGAACAAACCGTCCGCATTCGCAGCTAGAGCCACTAAGGTTAAAGAGCTCCAGCCTTCCACATCCGGCCATCAACATCTTTACACATGAAAATAAACACTTTGCACATTAGCAAAAAGAATTTGTTAAAAGTCATGAATGTAAAACAAACAGACAAAAGCAGCACAAGCCCAAAAAAGAAAAAATACACCCAGAACTTTGGTCTGCAAGATGTTTACCTAGTATGTTACATGCCACACATGTGACAAGTATAACTGAAAGTGATCACAGACCACAAATATTCTTCTCCAAGTTGTGATTTCTTTTGTGAATAGTGTGGCATTCTGCATGCCAACAGCTTCCCTAATTCTCCTGCATCAACAGTCCAATGTTTCTGTGGCTCTTCCAGGAATCAGCAAAAAATTCAGTGTTTTTGGAGGATGGGGTAAGGAACAATACTTTGAAAACATTATAGTGGTGGGAATCTGGCCTGTCACTGTAATACCTACAGCTTTAAAGAAACCCCTTCCCTTCGGTATTTTAACTTTGGCTTTGAAGAACATTTGTGTTTGCGTGTCTCGCCACGAGGAACCCAAGCTGAGCCTTGGGGCAACAGGCAGCGCCCAGCAGGGCGCTGAGGAGCAGACTGGCGCCTCAGGCTGCGCCGGCTCCTTCGGGGCTTCTCTCCAGAACTTCAGTGACCAGCTGCGAGAAGACAGATGTTCAGATGGCCCCAAGCTGTTCCCTCACTTCACCAGTGTAAAACACTACCCCATTTTCCTCCAACTGCTTGCAGAGCAGGGAATTCAGGATGCTGTGAACCTGATGTGTCACCTGCTGCGGGGTCAAAAAGAACTTTTTCTCGTTAGGTGCAGGCTTGGCGACCCCCATAGGTACCTGGTAGCATCTAGGGGCAGTGTTGCACATTAACTATGTCAGCAATATGGACGAATGCTGTGATTTGTCACCACTTCTCAGTTGGAATTGTGTAAGGAAAGAGGGTGACAAAGTCCAGTGGACAGAGTTAAAATGGACTACGGGCCTACGGAAGGAAGGGAGCTCTTAAAGCTTTGCAGAGATGTTCCCAGGATATGGGGACCAGGTAGAAAAGACAGTGTGAAACCAAGTAATCTAGAACACAGAGCAAACTTCTTGTCTGTGAAGGCAACGTTATTATTTTATTTTTAACTCAGAGTTGATGGATGGGGCAGGGAAGCCCAAAGGAGAAAGAGTATGTGCTGCACTAAGCAGTGCGAAACAACGCTCCCTCCCTGTGAATACACAGTCCTGTTTAAATAGCAAATATGTTGACATCGGTGAAGGCAGGTTATTTGTTGTTAACTTATCAAAAATATATATTCATAAGAATTTGTTCTAAAATTTTCAGCTCCTCAAATTTTATTACATGCATAGCAAAGTCTAAAGGAAGTCAAATAAAAAGGTCTTACCTTGTTGTCATGTATTCAGCTCTGTGACCTAGAAAGAGTTCAATGAAAAGGAAACAATCATGTGTAGAATTTGGAGCTAAATACCTTTTTAAAATTCAAATTATGCTTGCAAATTTACATTTAACCCCAGCTTTGGGGTACTAGCAAAAAGAAACAATGACACAACAAACAGGGCTGAGCAATGACCCACCCTCTCTACGGTCACATTTAAAACACAACCTGTGCATGAAGTGACTTCCCAGAAACCTGTCCATAAGCTGAAGGGCCGCTTGGTCCTGTGAGCAATCTGAAGCTGAGCTCCAAAGGGCGCCCATTGCTTATGCTCATGTCCTTTAATGGCCAAGCCAGTATGGGAACAGAGAGGTGCCAAGACAAGATTGCATCTCCCCTTGTGCCTAAACCTGTTCAGTGCCAAAAACGGAGAGCTCTGGGCACCAATGGCTTGCTAACAAAAGACTCCCTCCTCTCTCTCGGTTCCATTTAATAACATATAAAAAAATGACAAGGCTATCATTTGGAAGCAATGTAGCACAGACTTAAGAGGAGTGGCAACTGCAAAGAATTGTAGAGAAGCGAATGTTGTCCTCCGAAAAGGTTCCTGGTAACCTTTGCGAGCCAGTGAGTCAGGCATGTGCACTATGGAAACACATAATAATCAAAAGCAAAATAATGAAACAGCAGGAAGGTCATGATATGATACCAGTCTAGTATCCCCAAGGGGAAATCACGCTCTATTAATTTATTAGAATTCTTGGAACTTGCCATTAAAACAGTAAGATAAAGGCGAATCAGTTGGATTAATTTAGGTAGATTTTGAAAGACTCCTGACAAATTTATTCACATGGGGCTACTAAAGTAACTAAACAGGCATGGATTGAGTGGCAAAATATTACCGTTGATCAAAAACAAGACGAAAGGGAAACTAAGTGGAATTAATCCATCAGTTTTCATCATGCTAGAGATAACAGTCATACACTCGAGCCTTCCCATTATGCGCTCCTATATAAAGCATTTACTAATGTCTTAGAGAGATCACAGCAGCAAGGGAGGCAGAAAATTGTGCAGATGACTAAAATACACTTGTATCGAGTCCTGACAAAACTGTGAAGCACTTTACAGGAGTTTAATCAAATTAGGAAACAAGACAAAAAACAGCAAATGAAATTCAGTATTGGCAAGCTGAAATAATAATTATTGGGGAAGAAACAAGCACTTTATGCAGCTAACAGAACTACAGATAACAATACTGACTCGGAAGGACACCCTGAGCATCATTTGGGCTAGGTCTGAGTAGAGCATGATACTTCAAAGCTGAGGCAAAAAAATGCATAGCAGACATCCCATTGCAAGAAGAGTGCAAACCAAAGTGGTTTGCAAAACACAACCTGGTTACGTGGCAATATCCAGTTGCACCTGAAATACTGCACTGTACTGAAAACCCTCCACTGAAAATGTATCTTGCAGTATCAGAAGGGTGTGGAGCTGCAAATAGTGAAACAAGGAACAAGGTTTGGGAAGAAAATCTGGCATTAGTAAGACCTACAAAGAGTGCTGAAATGTATTGTAGAGAGGTGAAAAGAGGGAACAAAACAAGAGTGTGTAATGTGCATGACCTGGAGAGGCTAAGTCAGCAACTTCCTTCTCCCTACTCAAAAAAAGAAAAAAAAAAAGGGGGGGGAAATTCACTGAGATTAAGAATCTCAATAATGAATGCTGGGAAAGCATAGAAACAATGTTAAGAATTCCAGGTTTGGGATTTAACTATGCCTCTGATATATAGCAGAGCAGGGCAAAACTCACCTGGAAAACCAACAATTTATTTGACAACTTTCTCTTAGCTTTCTTACCTTTCCTCTTGCCTCCTTGTAACACAGGAGCTTTGGGTTTGAATTCAAATGGCAATCACTGTATGTCCTATGTTTAGCATCACTATCCTTTGAGTATTTCTCATTTAGCTTTCCCGAACTGCAGATGCATATGCAGCATACAGCATTTAATCCATCTGCCTCTGTCCATGAACAGAAGTGGACTGCAGTACACAGGTGATCAAGTGGAGCAGGATCCAAATGCCACCCATATTTTGGGAATCACACTGAAAACCGGATTTATGCCACCTACATCCTTACACCAGACTTGTTTGAGATCCATTCAAGTTGCACCCATAGAATTCTTTGGAGAACAATCCTGACTGCCAAGTATCCAACATACTTCACCAAAATGCTGTTCACTGCTTGCTAAGGCTGTCTTCTGGAAGATGGCTCTGCCTGCACTTTCTTACCCCTTCCCTGCTGCTTCCGAGAACCTCAACTGGGCACTTCTGAAGAGGGAGGCCGTCTCGATCCACCCTCTCACTTCCCTTGGATCCCCAATTACCGCACAGCCGCTTCCCGCTGCCGGGGACAGGGGCCCAGGGAGGGCCTTGCTCCTATTGAAGTCATGAGGAACGACTGCGTAACCCTTAACCTCGCGCCCCACGGCTTGGGCTTACATCATCCTGTCATGATCTGCACAGCAAGGAGCGAGATGATGAGATAAAAGCAAGGGAGGGTGCCAGAGAAAAACCTCACTGTTCAGCCACCCCTTCCTTGCCTTTCTCTTCTCTCCGTTCTCCCGCTATGTTATTTAATACAATACCCTGTGTGATTTGATGTGTTGTTGTCTTGCTGACATGAAAGGCGCCAGAAACGGCAGTTTGGGGGAGCTGGGGTTAAGATCATTTCCTATAAATTCATTTCTATATCAGCTACAGCAATAATGTTCCTAATTCCACTTCAACAATACTCTTTCAGCCATCTCCATCCAAGGCATGCACAGAACCCAGGCCTTCCTTCTAAGATTCTGCACTGTAATGCACCACACGCTTCCTCAATAAAATGGGGCACTGGAACTTCTTAATCTGCAAGAATGACGGTTTTTGCTTCTGATCACCACCCTGAAACTGTATGCAGAGATTTGGGGCATTATTTCTATGTGCCATGGTGTGATGACACACCAACCACGTGCCAAAACTAAGGGCAAAATAGATCAAGGGCTCAGGGTCAAAGGAAGGTCTTCAAGCAGAATGGTCCAAACCTGCCTGAGCTCAATAACCCAGAATAACCCAGACTCTGATGGCAATTTATCACTTCGGTCATCCTGCTGAGGAGTTTCTCTTTGATTTTCCTTTGATACACTTCTCCTTTTGTTTCTTTCCAATATGCACTAGGCAAAGGATTCTGTTGCTTTTTTTTATTTTTCCCTTTGCTCCATGAAAACGTATTTTACTGAGCTTCCAAATAACAAACATTTACTTTATTTTTCCAAATACATTTTCTCTAAATATTTGGAGGAAAAATGTCCTCAGTTTTGACTAACACAACTGCATGTTGCTTTGCAGGAATAAACTGCTCAACACACACATTTAAAAAAGAAACCTATTATATGAAAACTTCCACCAAAAAGCAGATAATGCAGTAAGCTGCTTAAAAGCAGTTACCAACTTCTAGAGTCCAGCCCTTCAGTAAAACACAGCTTATTTCTCATCCCCCAACTGCAGTCACTGTCTGAACTAGGGCTTTGGATCACAGTCACATAAGTGTTAATGGCTGTTTAGCCACCTCCACAACTGGATTTGTGTCTTTTGTATTGAAAGTAAGGAAAGATTTGATTAACACCAGGTTTTTGGCACTAAAAGGAAAATAAATTGCCATATCCTATTGCTCTTTAGAGAACGTCTGCTTTCTTTAATCAGAACTATGAATTACATGCAGTCCTTAATCTTCAGGAGGGGATTTTTTACTCTATTGTGTAATTCACTTCCTCTCCAGACTATAACATGCTGTGTGGCTAGTGCTCAAGGCAAGTATGAATCTGCTTTTCCTCTGGGTCCATGAGGAAGTGAAGATCAGTAAGAGACTGGCTGGAACTGCACATAGGGGCTGACTCACTAGTGTTGCCATTCAGCTTCAGTTCATTGGATCACGGGCATCCGCTAAGTCAATTTATACTTAAAAATGCATTACTAAAAATCAGGGAGAGCAACTAGGACAATGGATGAGGTAAAAAAAGTTTCCTGTGAAATAGTGATAATCAAGCTCCTACTCATTCTGTAAGTAAATACTTTGCAGAATCCCAGCATTGGTGAGGTTAGGTTTTCACCTTTTATCTCTCATAACTACTCCTCTGAGGAGCTAGGCTGCAAGAAGGCCATTCACATCTGCACGTCAGGAAAGCTGCAGCAGCAAATCCAGGGCAAGAGATTGGTCCTGGATAATCTACCATGTTAAAATAATCACTTTCTTCACCTCTTAAAAAAAGACCTAAAGACAACAGGGATCACCGGGAAGAGCAAAGCATTTGGCACAGCACTGTAATCAGCCTACACAGGCTATGTCAGCTTTCATTTCAGAACTGAGATTTTTCACTCAATAGCTCCATTTCCAGATAAAGTCACTTGTCTAAATGTTTGCACAGTGGATATGAATATCTGTGGAGGAAATAAAACCAACTCGTAGCACACAGTCTTACCATTGCACCGAAACTATGACTGGTAAAAACAAACAGCCCTCTGCTTACTGGACAAGTAAGCTTTAATCTTCTCCTCCAAATCTCCGAGATATTCACTATATGGCTTCAAATGACTTTTCACTTTACTGTGAGATATTTACCTTCTCCGAGCGTCCTCTGCAGCAAGTCGTGCTTTGCTTGAAGCTTTGTGATGAGATTACTGCCTTCCAGATATTCTCTGAATTTCTGCAGAGATGAAGACCAAGCTATTACTACGTACGTGACCTAAATTCCAGGAACTTCTGCATAACATTCACTTCAGGTGTCTGGCCTGTGCCTCATGGATGAGGAAGCAACCAACATACCATGAAATAGAACTGCTCCGTTTCCTGCTGGTTAGCTCTTCTCTTGGCAATGCTGGGCTTACTCAGGTACGTCTCCGAGACCGTCGACTTCACGGACTCGGTGGAGCGGCTGTGCTGGAAACACTCGGACACATCGTAGTCCTCGATGGTGACCATGTCTTGTATTGTCTGCAAAGTGGCCTCCGTGGTTTTTTTAACCTGGTGTCAAAAAGCACAGTTTATCAAATGGGAAGATAAGTAGATACTAGAACAGCTTAGAACAGAAGCTCCCTACTCAAATGAATCCTCTGGCACACTCTTCTACTCTGATGCATTAATTTGAAAAACGGGGTCCACTAGATCAGATCTCTCTATATATTAATGAAGAATAACATCAGTAGATATTATGTTTAGTTCTCTGCTTTACTGTGGTGCAGCTCACAAACATGGATGTGCTCTTGTGTTGCCTGTATGGCAGTCTCAGGCACTTGCTTCTTGAAATTAGAATGGTTATGGTCCCTGTGACTTGGGACAACAGGCAGAGCAGATACGCTGCTCTGAATGGTCAAATCTCCAGATGTGGCTATGGCTGAACAGAGGCACCTCTGAGGATGTGGCTGTCCATTCTTCCATGGGAAACATCCATGTGAGTAGAGGTGTTCAGAGAGCAGAAGTGCAGCTGGAGGACAGGGCTGCGGAACGAGCAGGTGACACCCCTTCCTATGAGCTGCAGAGCGTGGACACTCGCAGTGGAAACCAGGGCATGGAGGCAGTGTCTCCACAGGGGAGCAGAAGTAACTGTCAAGATCCATGAGGATGGGATTTACCTCCAAGCTCTGCTGGAAGGGTCTCTAGCAGAGAGACTCTCAGAATTACATGCACTTCCACACACACCTCCAGCGTGGGAAAGCTTCCTTCTCAGGCCTGTCAGCATTTCCCCTCCATGCCCTTGTGCTCACATGTCAGAAACTCTTTTGTCTTTGCCATCTTCCATCTCCTAGAGCTCTTTTCTGAATTTAGACAGTTTTAGAAAGACTAGTGTACAGGTCTAATGGACATTAGCATTTGGAGCTGGGCATTCATGATATAAAACAGAACGAGAAAAATTCTAATCTAAAAAAGTACGCCAAAGAAACAAGGAAATCACATGTATATTTTAACAGAGGAATGGGTTCTCATTTAAATGGAGAACCTTTTACACTACCTTAAAATGGATAAAAGTGCAATTTGTGCCCACTATACAGCCTGCCTTTGCTGCTAGAGTAGAGGACAGGGAACAGTGTAGCTTTTCTGTTCTTTATAAAGAAAAAGCACTTTATTTTACTAGGTGAGTAATTCCCATGACAGGCTTTCACTACTACCGTTTATAAATAGCTCTAGCTGAAAGCACAGCAGATTTTGACTCAGCTACCACAAAAGATGGTCTGAATTCCTTTGCCCTTCAGAAGTAGCAATTTGGGGATGGAGTAGAGGGTAGGCCCAGAAGACAATAACTCTGTGGCTTTTGTATCACAAAACTTCAAAATATATTGCCTAGCAAGCGTTCACTGTAATTTCTGTCAAATACAGAATTCTGTATGGTGAGCATACGGACAGGTAAATGATGGACTTCCTAAATGTCTATATTCAGGTGAGGATCTACCTTCCCCTAAAAAGAGACTATGGAAATTCAGTGCTTTGGGTAAGTAAAGCACTCGCACAGACACTCACACACTACCTGTGGGTAGTTGGCTACATCAGGGTTTTTGTGGAGGTCTCTGTACGTAGTGCAAGAACCAACTGAACAACTTGCCAGACTTCCAGAAACTTGGACCCCAGTGACACCTGATGTCATTTGCTCTTTCTTTAGTATCGCAGGAAATTCTCCACATTCAATACATTTGACCATTTGTAGCAAGCTGGGGCAGCAGTAATTTTGTCCTGCTACGTGCACATATATCTGATGCAGATTTAATCTTCTAACAGAGACATGAATACATAAAAAAGGTATTTGCAGAATCTAAGGCTTTCCATATTTATCAGGTCCACGAAGGTGGGTGCAAAGGAAGCTCTATACAGCCAGTGACCTTCACAGTTAAGTTCTAAGCTAGCATAAGTGGGTTTCAAGCAGTACATTTTGCTGATGGACAAGTGAATGAATGAAGGAAAAAATCATCGTTTCAAGTCTTCCCCACTCAATTGTTTCCTAAAACTGGACTGAGCAGCTATGAGGACAATACAGTAATTTCAACAATCTGAAAGAGAATTCGTACTTGATTGTATGCAACCAAACATTACTTGGTTTTACAAAGTACATATCATCTAGAACATAAGAGCTTCCTTTAAAATTCAACTTATTACACAACTCATGTGGATTAAATGAATACAAGTGTTAGCTAAAAAAGACTAAGGTTTGCTCTCTGAGTTGAAATATATTTACACAACTGGTTTGTTTTCCCAGAATTGAATTGATAAATAAAAGTTTGAACACAGAGTGAAAAAAAAAGGCAGACGGAGTATAAAAGCATGCAAATATACTTATGTTTTCACCACTTGAAAATGAAAGATCTCAAATCTTTCCTGAAAGAACAAAGGCCATGTGAAACCAACATATGTTGGTGTTTTGTTCTGCTTCTATTCTATACATGACTTGGGCAAACAAAGCCACACTTACTGCATGCCAAATCCTGCCCTGATTTACATCCCCTGAAATGTCTCCACCTATCAGGAAAGGCAAGGGTGTATAAAGAGCTTTTTCTTTTATGCTTCCAACTTAGCAAATTTGCCAGGATTTGAGTTGCAAAATTAAAATAGCTCACACAGATTGAAGCCATTTCACTGTACTTTGTATCTTCTGACCAGGCAGAGAACCCTGCAGCACCCTGCAGTGCCCGATGCACAGCTGAAAACGGTGCCCAAGGCACAGCTGGAGCAGACACGGGTCTTACCTCCTCGTTTTCAATTTTGAGCGTAGCCAGTCGTGACTGCAGCTGCTGATACCTAAGCATGAGCTCTGCTTGCACAGCTTGCTGGGCAGTGACCTGACAAACCTAACAAAGAATCGAAAAGAGGTGTAAGATGCAAAGAAAGAAAAATCCACCATCTTGGGTTGCTCTTTGTAAAACTAGGTGAGTTCCCACCAAAGCTATTAAAATGTAACAGAGCAGACAATGAAATATGTCTATATACACTCAAAGCACTTAAATGTTACAAGACAGGGAACTACACACCACATCCTGTGGCTACAGAGCACAGCCTTGTTGTACGGCTGCTTTGTAATGAAAACTCTGTAGTTACCTTTAATAAAAGTATACCCAAGTGATTCTGTGTGCTGTTTTGTACAGGCCCTTGGCACAGCAGAGGACGACGATAACGTGGGGGAGGAAGAAGGGGAGAAGGCTGCATCTCAGTGAGCACCATTTGGAGCAGCTTGCAGCTGCTCTCCAATCGCTCCCACAAGCTCTGCTGGGGCTGTGGCAGGTAGCGAAGATGTCAAGTCACTACCTACACTAGTACTGGGCTGGCCATGGGTTATGGGGCAAAAGAGAAGGGTGTGAAACATTGCTGAAATTCTCGAGCAGCTCAGTATGGAGACTGGCTGCCAGTTTTGCAAAACCTTGTTGCTGATCTGTTTGTTTTTGGGTAGCTTTTACCAAACTCCTTATAAAAGGGGATAACATCTATATAATGCTGAAAATAAATGGAATTTCAGGCCAAGGAAAGCTCCTTTGTGTATAGACACAGAAACAGTCACCATGGGGTTCCCTGCATTTGTCACTAACTACAGACCTCATCACCCATATGAGACTGGAACTCGAATTTCATGGGTGGGCAGAAGGCAGTGGGGTACATCTCCATGAACCTCTGCTTGTCACTTCGTGGCTCCAAGCTGTCAACTGCATTTTCAATGATGTCAAGGCCCTCATGCCTGGAGGTTTCAAGGTTATACTCTGCAGAGAGGTAGGTCCTCAGCGCTCTGTTCAGACTCGCGTGGTACCCGAGATCACAACACTAATAACACAACAAAAGAAGAAAAAAGTAAACTAAAAGGTGGGAACTCCAAACTAACACCCCAAACCACAAGTTATCATTATAACTTTCTGTCCACACTTTTTTAATCTTCAAAATATTTTACAAAATACTTTGTAAATCAAAATGCAATATTGGCATCAAGACGTAAGTATCTTAGTATCCTCAGTCTGTCGACAAAAGGAGAAGTGCAGATCCAGGGACAGATCCAAGGTTAGAAGACAGATGAGGTGTACAGGTACGGAAAGGCATATACATTTATATGTAAGATACAGATGTGCAGCTGCCACATTTGCACAAGAAGGTCTGGGGCTCCACAGAGAAGCAGTCTTTTCAGTACTACTGTCATAGCTAAGCCTCAGATCATGTCTGAGGAGCCAGTCTGAGAGATCATTGCCCTCTAAGTCAGGGGTAGCACCAAGCTGAAAACATTCCTGCCTTAACCCAAACAAAAAACCAACAAAAGACTTGCCTCTCTTGTTAGGGACCCTAATGAGATGCTTTTTGATTTAATGAGAATTGCTTAACATCCTTCCCCTGACAGCACAATGTATTTGCTGTATACACCTTATTCCCCTTGCTCTGACAGAGCCAGCAATGTACATCATGTTACGAAATGCAGGAAGTCATAATTTATGATTTTTTTTTCCTAGGGGTGAGAATAACACTGAAATGTATGTGAAATCTAATTGAAATCTAATGGGTAAAATGTAAAGTTGAGCGTGTTCTTGAATTTTAAACACCCCTTGGCCTGCATTATTCATGAGCTGTTAATATTTTAGAGGAACAGCTGTAGATACCCTCCAAATGGCATACTGGGAGCGCACCCAGGGATTGTTTGCCTGATCCCCCCACATGATGCAGCCAAGGGCATCCTCGGGGCTGCTCGGGGGGCTTCCCTGCCCAGAGGCAGGACGAGCGCCGGCCTCCTGCTCTGCTAGCAGCTGCACACAAAACATCCCACTCTCAACGGGGCTTTTAGGCCCCACTCAACCTGGGTCACAGCGAGCAACCAGCTGCGGGGAGAAGAGCTCCTATGTTCTCCCTCTACGCTTCTCCTTCTCCTTCTAACTATCTCTCTTCTAAGTTTCTATGGGGAGAGAAACAAACCGCTCACACCTTGCTGTACATTTAATTTCATCAAACACTAGTGATCAGGTTGCCCTTTTTAGCGTGACAACAGAGGGCTGTTCTATCTGCAATACTGATGGCAAAACTATTTTGATCAGCAGTGGCTTTCAGCCTTGGAGGGCACTGCAGCTCAGTGCTGCTGCTGCTGCTGGGAATATCCACCCCAAACCAGCTCTTGAACCAGTTAAAATCTACCAGAGAAGAAAAAAGGGGGAAAAATAGATGTCATGTTCTATCAAACGCACACAGCTTAACCTCTCTCTTTGGTATTTATACAATGGGAATTTGTGTTACACTTACTAAAACAATCACTCAACCTCTATACTTAAGCACATCCATATTTCAAAGCTCTCCAGCCTTAAAAAAAAAAAAAAAAAAAAGTAAAATTGTTTGCACATGTTTCTAAAAGGAAAATTCTCTCGGTATCTTTCTCTTGTTCCATGTCAAACCAGATCTCACATTTAATTCACTATCTGGGATGAAAAAGACAGACTAAAAGTGATGATAAGAAAGTGGATCGGGGCAGCTGTTCCATTTCACGTGCATTAGCTTTGGAAAGACCTCACAGAAGATTAAGCTGAGAGGAAATAAGAAATAGAGGGTAACGCTTGGAGCGGCCAAGTACTCGTGTGTTAAAAACTCCGGGCACCTAGAGCCTGGATTTTGGAGCAGAGAACAAACAGAAGCCGATTGATTTCAGTTAGGGACACATGGGTCCTGATGCAGCTTTAGGCAAGTGGGAGTAGGAGGTCGCTGCCTTTCTGCCGTGACACTGGAGAACGTCACTGCTTGAGCCCTCCTCTGCTCCGTGGCTGTCACCTGCTCCAGGGTGGATGGACGTCACGGTCATCACCTGGGGTGCAGGGTGACAAACACAGCTTCGCAGCCAGGCTCCAGGGCTCCTCAGGGACGCAGGGAGTCTTGCCAGAGCAAGGCATTTCTTAGTAACCTTAATGCCTGCAAAGGAGGCAGGAACTAAACCCAGAAGGCTCAGTGAATGCATTCACCACAGTGGCTCCTTGAAGGGAATTGAAAATGCTGGGATTGGGATTTTTGCTTCACAATTATGTGTAGAAATAAAATCTGATTTAAAGGCAAAAGAAAAAAACTCCTAACCATATTATTACTCTTGCTTCTGCAGAAATATAATTCTCTTGCTCCAAAATTTGCAGGCATAAATATTCTTAACCCGGGAATGGCTCTTACCACCTCATGGCTATTCACTGTGGAGAAGGGCCCTGTTTTAATCTGTGATAGGTAGGAATGGTAAGAGAATGGAGGCAGCACTTGGGGCATTTGTCCATTTTATGATCAAAATCATAATTCACGGCCCCTACCTTGCTGTCCCCACAACGTGCATTGGAGCACAGGAAAAGCTCCAGCACCTCAGGCTCACAAGAAGTACCCACATATGCACATGCACATGTACATGCACATGCACACGAACACACACACCTCTGTGACTGCCAGGGAAACTTGTATATTTGTAAGGAGATTTGTAAGGTGAAAAGAGAAACCACAGCCCAAACAAATACGGATCTGTGGGGTTCATTCATCAGCACGTTCTGGCACGTTCAGCTTGGAAGCCTAATGAAACCTGCTGTCTATCCCAGGGCTGGGAGATGAGATGTCAGGTGGTGCAATAAGACTTGCAAGATGAAAAATGAGGGAATGAAGTCTTGGCCTAGGTGCTTTATTGCATTCCCAGCTTCATAAAGACTTCTGCTTGGGCAAAGTAGAGGGAGATGAGTGATGCGTTTGGGATATGTGTGAAAAATTAATTTTGTAATTTGCATTTTATTCTTATTTGGAATTAAATCCGAAGCAGTCTCAAGAGCATTTACTGTCTTTATTGCACCCCAGAGTATATTTAGGCTTGAAAAAAAAAAAAAAAAAGCTGCAGTGCTTAGCACAGAGCTTCAATGAAACAACCAAGCTGCTCATTTCATTTCATGAATAATAATAAAATTGTAATGCCAGCAAAAAGAGAAATTCATAAAAAAGTGCTAACCTCTAATAAGTCACTTTCTAATCATCCCTGTTACATCGACAGTAACATTTGAATCAAAGGGCCCTGGCTGTATATACCATATTTATGAGGACTTACGTAATAAAGAGCGTGAGCTGCATGCACTCCAGCGTCGTTTTAAGCTTGGTTCCATGAAAGATTAACAAAGCACCTTACAGAATGAATCAAGCTCACAACAGCCTCATGTTCTCCAACTTGTCACCACACAATGCATTACTACAGACTGCAATTAGAGAGTCAGAAATACCACTCTAAGAAAGATCAGCATCTAAATACTGTATCGATTCCAGTAGTGGAACTACTGTCAAATCCGACTTGATCACAACTTCTGAGCATTTACCTTCAGATCATGAGTACACAGTGAGTCAAAAAAAAGGTCTCTGCCTTCCTCTTATGTCCAGATAAATCTAGTAATCTCAATTACATAGAAACCTTCAAATAACTGAATTATAATGTGCGCCATAAGGTCAGATGTTGTTAATAACAGATTAGCAGGCAGCATTTACTCCATCACTCGCCAGAATTTTCAAGTGATTTTCTACATACTACATAAAGATTATTTAATTTAGTTAAAAAATTTCTTCATTACCTTTTGCTTTATGCAAATAAAGGAAAAACTAATTTTGTCCTTCACTAGAACTAGAGCCTGCTGTATATTCAACAGAGAATAAATATCCCATTCAACAGAAAATCCAAATTCCCCTGCTTCAAATATGCCGAGCACAGAAATAGGCTATCCACACCAAATAATGTTTATCCCACTGCTTCTTGGCAAAGGTTACTCCAAAACCTCAGCTCACCAAGCGCATTAAAAGACCGAGCTAAGACTGCAGCAATATTTTTTATCTTGCTTTTATCACAAGGGTTTAAGATTATGACCAACACATCATCATTTTAAGTCAAAAGAGCAGAGCCTTTGTTAATGAAATGAGTGAATTGAACAGTTCAGATGAAGTTCAGGAACTGCAATTCAGGATTTTCCATGGTAGCCTGACAAATCCAGCTGCAGTAGAATCCAAATGAAAAAACTATAAACAGCTGTTGGTTACAAAAATATTTCATGATCCTCTCCAATACTGTTGCAAACACAGGCCAGTACACTGAACAGCTTACTGCACTCCTCCATACATTTTTCTGCATTTTCATCAGATATATTTATCAATAACACAGGAATCCATTCAGTTGCAGGCATTAGGGGCTGTAGCATCTCTGCTGTGAGGGGAGGCTGAGAGAGCTGGGCCTGTTTTGCCTAAGGAAGAGAAGGCCAGGAAGGGATGTTCTCAGTGTGTTTAAATGCCTCAAGGGAGGGTGTCAAGAGGATGGGGCCAGACTCTTTTTAGTGGGCAGAGATAGGGCAAGAGAGAGTGGGCACAAACTGCAGCACAGGAAGTTCCATTTCCATGGGAGGAAGAACTTCTTTCCTTGAGGGTGTCAGAGCCCTGAACAGGCTGCCCAGGGAGGCTGTGGAGTCTCCTTCTCTGGAGATCTTCCAAACCCGCCTGGATGCCRCCCTGTGCCCCGTGCTCTGGGTGTCCCTGCTGGAGCAGGGGGTTGGGCTAGATGATCTCTAGAGGTCCCTTCCAACCTCAGCCATCCTGGGATTCTGTGATAAGCAAAGAGAAAAAGATTAGGAAAGCACGGAAAGGGAGGCAGCTGGGGACAAAGTGCAGAAGGTAAAGAAGGAAATCACCCCCCACGCTCTGCAAACTCACGACTGCACCATTCCATTAACAGATTTACAGAACGAGATGTCTGGCTTGTTGCAACATATGGACAGTGGGAAGCGTGTCTCACATTCCAATGATATAACCCCCAAATCTTGCCAAGACTCTAGGATTTACAAAAACTGTTTCCTTCGTCAAGTAGTAAACACTCTGTCTAGATACCAGTGATTTCACAGAATATTCTGATTAAATACAACTGCCTGAAAGACACTTCATTTAAACAATTCCGCAATTGGATTAAGTTGGCTCTGAAGCAAATTCTGCTTACACATGTTTACAGCCAGCTTGTACAAAAATGTGATTTCTAGATCTTCCATTTAAATTCCTCAGAGAAGAGTCATTTCTAAAGCCATTTTGCCAAAAGAATTTGTTATTACCTATGCTAATCCACTGCTTGAAAAAAAAAGCACTCTAAGTAGTTATCCTTTTACTGCACTACTGCATTTTGTAGAATTTCTACAAAATTTCTACAGCCTACAAAATTCCAGTCTTCATGGCTGTGCAAATACCTTTTCAAGCACTAACTCCACCGAGTTTTTTCTTGTTGTTTAAGAGTTGTTGAAGAAGCTTCTGGGCCTTGGCTCCTCCTGCCAGCTCTCCCTGCTAAGGAAAGTTCTGTGGACACTAGGGATGGCTGAAACAGCCTGAGACTGTTTTGACCAAAGAGAAACACACGCTGGAGACACTTTTCTCAGTACAAATGTGAGTCACGAAATAGTAGATAGAAGACCCAGTCAACGTATTTCCAGAGACTCCTTCCTTCTTTCCTTCCTTGCCTCCTTCCTTCCTTTCATCCATCCATCCATCCATCCATCCATCCATCCATCCATCCATCCATCCATCCATCCATCCAGACATGCCCCATATAAAAGCTACAAAACCTAGAGCCTTTAAGCAACATCCTGAAAAATGATCTGATAGGTTGGGACAACTTCTCACTTGGGTGCTACCTATGAGCTATGGCTACTTGTCCTTAGTTTTCTGTTATCTATTTCTGTTTATCTATTTTCTGTTATCTGATTATCTATTAGGAACCTGGTAGATGTTGCCTGGGCAGGACAAATGGGTGGAGCAGGATGTGCAAATGTGTGGATGTAGATTAGAGAGGGATTGTATATAGCACAATAAGCCAGGAGAGAAGAGTGACAGATACAGAGAAGGAAAGGGAGATGCTGACATGGGCACAGCAGCAAAACTGAAAGCACACAAAAATATGAGAAAGAAACAAGAAAAAAAGGGAGCAAAAACTTGTGGAGGGAAAAATTGCATGAAAAAGGAAAAGAAATCACAACAAAAGCAAGCACAATTTTGCAAGTTTTAAGAAAAAATAACAAAGAAAAATGAATGTCAATATTTTAGTAAAATTCAGTAAAACAGACTTATGCAGCTGTTCTAGTCCATTCCCCTCAAGAAATATTTTTTTAATTAAGGTTTTGTTCTCCAGCCAAGAGATATTTTTGTCAAATGCTGCATCTATGCCACATAGCAAACCACAGCTTAGTTAGCTTGTCTTTGTGAGGAACATCTCACCAGTGCAAAAGGAATGATTGTATGTGAATGTTTACTGCTGTAAATAACAAATGCCACTGCTGTAGTAGAAAGCATATGCAAATATCTAGTGTTTCATACTTAGGACAAACCCACTGACTTATTTAACACTATATCACTACTGAATGAATATTATTGAACCAGTGCTTATTATCTCCATATTTTCTGTATCAAAAGAGGTCAATGTAAAAAGAGAGCATGGGACACAGCTGACTATAGGACGTTCTCTCCATGTCAAGTAAAAACGCCAATAATAGAGATTCTGCAGACCAAAGACTGTTGTGAGTCAACATCACTGCATCACCTCATTCTCCTAAGATATCCTCGCAGTATTAATTTACTGAACATCAGTAACAAGTTCTGTTGACAATACAGAATATTGAATCAATTCTATCTATTTTGCAAACTGTATGCAACAGGAATTACAAGCAGCACATTTATGAATGACTGAATGAATGAAACCAATGATTTTGAAGACACATAGTCAAATGCCTTATTTTGAGTTAAATACCATGAATATATGCCCTTTTAAAAAGTTTATTTTGTATTTTTCTTTTTTTTTACTGCAGAAATGCTATTTTCTCTTGCCACTTAGGGATGAAATATAACGTTGTAACTTTAAAGAAGTAGGCTCAGCATCCTATTGACACCTTGTTTTGTGAAATAAAAAACTTAAATGAAAACTTCCTAGTTATACTATAGAACATTACAGATAATAAGCACACTGTAGGCAACTCATACCACTTATCTTCCCTTTGAAAATGAAAAGCAAAATAAAAATACGTAATATTTCTGAATAGAACAAACTTAAAAACAAATGTGTTACTTACATCAATTAAATCCGAAAGGTCATGAATATAATACTTGAAAACAGAAGCGTTGGTTGCTTCAAGGGTCAGCAGGTATTCGTTACGGGCTTTAATAGATTTCAGCTTGTTTTCAGAATATTTTGCTTGACGCTAAGAAAGAGAGTGTATATTAATTAATTTGAACTACTTCATTTTTGATACATACTCCAACCAGTAACAACTCAAGCACATAGGCCTATTATCAAGAAAGGTCCTTAATGGAAGCTTGTTATATATAAAATAAACATCCTACAAGGAGGTAACTTAGTACTTTATTTCAAATCATATAATAAGAATTCTACTGGGAAGCAAGTATTCCTCTCTCTGAACTGAAAATAAAACAAGTTTTCTGTAACCTATTATTATGTTTTTATTTTATTTTATTTCCCATCTGGACTCCTCTATCTAATATCATGCTAAAGAATTTCAGAAACGTGTTGAATTTACTTCAAATGAAGCAAAACAAAAACACTGTTTACTTTTTCCTTCATTTTTTCAATCTTCTTCACAGAGCTCCGTCTCTGGTGCCTTTCCTCTAGTCGAATATGAAAGACAGGGTCTCCCGACCTCCCAATCTGTTTTTCTTCTTGCTTCTCTGCCTCCTTCAGCTTGCTTTCTGCACTGATGCTCTCTGCATGATACATGTGGTAAGTTTTCATGACCTGCAGAAGACAGAGTCAAAAGAGAGTTGAGGGAAAATGAAGATACAAGCATACACACACAAAAAGAACAGGGTGAGTAAAACACTATCTTATAGACACAGACTTTAAGTAAGTTTCTTTGCCAACACAGACTGAAGACTTCTGGTTGCATTTGTTTTTCTAGTTTATTTAATTGTATCCCAAAAGCTAACTGCAGGCCTATATAGACTTAATCTACATGACTGACTTTGTGTGATTGCCTTTATATTATGCCAGAACTGACTAGTTTGTTTACAGAAGCAAGCACTTACATATGTAAAACTGAATGATCAGAGTGCTTTAACCAACCATTATGAATAAAGAAAGATTATGGAGAATGAGTAACTATGTAAGTATATGTAGGATTGCATTCTGTGTCATTTCTTCTGAGAAAGTCCTTGTACTGCAGAAATATTTTGGTGGGTGGTATAGCCTCAAGATAGCAATTGCTTCAGTTGAAATCAGGAAATACCTTTTGGGATTTTTTTTTCTCCATTGATCTGATAGGAATGAACAAATTCTTATCATTAAACTTCAGAAAACTTGAAATAAGAGTAACAGTATTATATCTGGGCAGTGGCTTTATCCTTCTGACTTCTTCAGTCTTAAGCAAATAGCTTGGCCACGGACCAGTTGAAAGCAACAGGACCCTGTTATCATGGAGGGAAGTGAAGGAAGCAGAGACAACAGGAAGCTTCAGTCTGGGAGCTCATCCCCAGTCAGCTGGCTGGCAGTCGAGGGCTGGGGAAGAAGCGGATTCGCACTGTGGAGCCGGCAGAGCGGGCACCGCAGCGAGCGGGCCAGCCCTGCAGACCAGAGCAGCAGGAGGCCTCATAAATAAATGGCAAAAATCCTTCCCCCTTCCCATGTAGTGCCAAGTTAATACCCTTATCTCCCCCTGCAGCCACTGCCTCCGCAGCCAGGAGAGCGCAGGCTGCAGCAACACATCCGTGTGGACAACATGAGAGGGGCTGGTCCCGCCACGGCCTCCCTTTCTTCATCAAACACAGCAGGCCTCAGCCCCAGCCTCCATCGTGGGGGGAAACGGCCGCCCAGGCGCCATGCACAAGAACGCTCTGCCCCAGTGGGAATCTTTTAAATCTTTTTGAGATCCAAACAAGAAACAAAGCAGGAGGACTCTTCAAGTTGGCAGCCGGTCTCCTCCCCTCTGACATGGTGGTTGAGGGCTCTCCCAGCAGATGCTCCTTTTGGGCCTCGGCCCCATGGGCCACGAGCAACCCCTCGGAGGGCACGGCCACGGCCAGCAGGGAGGCCTATGGGTTGCCCTCCTTCACCAGAGCTGCAGGCCACCGGTTCCAGAGACAGAGCAGTGTGGGGGAATGCGCTGGGTTATCCCTGGGGAGCCTCCACGGCGGTGCTGCTGAGGAGACACTGCAGAGGGATGGAGCAAAGAAACCCTCGTGGTGGTTTCTTTGCTCCACCTTTTTTGCTCCATGTGGTGGTTTCTTTTCCTTTGCTGAGGCATGAGGCTGAGGCACGATGGCCCACGAGGGGCCCTCACAAACGGGCTACGCACCACAGTGGGTGCCAGCTGGCGTGGGGTGCCTGCAGAGTGCTGCGCAGCTGAAGGGAAGAAGCTTTTAGAGAGCTGCACTTCTGCATAATGTACCTGTGTATGACGCCGTGTAGCACGGATGGGCCTGACATTAAATATAAACCAGGCGACTCTTCAATGACTTCCCGAGTTAAGGTAACAAAGTTGGAAGAAGTGCCTCTACTTCCATTTTTGCCAACATTTAGAGCTCTCTGCTGAAACTGCAAACTGTGGAACAGGGACTAGCGTTGCTGCTGTGCTTAGTTTGTACCACATTACTCTGAGGCCCAACCAAAGCAAAGACCTTTCTGTTCTAGGTCTGCTTACGCCCACAAGAAACAGGCAGTGCCCTGAACAGCATCACTGTCTCAATGGAGGAGGCCAAAATGAGGATGAAGATGAAACAAGCTCACCTGGGAACAGGGTGTGGGTCTGCAGACTTGAGATCTACACTGGTTTTGTTTAACCAAATTGTATGTTCAGCTTCCTATATCCTGCACTACTATCAATAGCATTTTTTGAATTGTGCCCAGAGACTCCTACTTATATAACCACGTAGAAAGGATTATTTAGAAGAAATCGACTTTTTAAGGAATTGATTTACAAAACAAACTTAAAAAGGCACAATAAGTGATATGGCTCTATTAAACTTGATGGGAAAAGGAAACTAAAACCAAGAGCTGTGCCCTTCTCTTTTGCCATCTTACTGATTTTTTAAGTGTGTTTCCATAGAAGTCTGCAGCTGTTTTGCTCACCCCTCCTTTTATTTTTTTTTCTTTTTATTGATTTCTATTTATTTTCTATTTATGTATTGGTCCAAATTCATCTCCAGAGTAAGAACTGAGACTTAGCTGATGAGACAAGGGTAATCTGTCTGTCTTCCCAGATAGGTACTTAACACACTGTTTTTCTGCCTGCAGGGAGCTTTTCTGCCTCCAGGCTGTATCTTGGATTTTCCTAACAAACCTCGAAGCATCGAACAGCAGCGGTGAAGCAAGGACCTGCTCGGTGTGACAAGGCAGTAGCCACAGAAGTTGTTGAAGCATTTTCGTTGGAGCAGGGGAACCCAGCTGCGTAGGCATCAATGTCCTTCTGCAGGACATTGTGGGACATTTCAGCCTGCATCCCGCTGAGTAAAGGAGCACGAGTGCATCTCCACCAGCTCCCTCAGCACCGTCAAACCTGCATCACCAAAAGGCCTTTCTTGGCCTTGTAGTAAATGTTACCAAATTCAGGTTTCCTCCCACAAACTCAAGTTTTGTGAGAGAATGACACACTAAGGTACCCTGTGAAGAACTGAGACGTCCACTTAAATTCATATTCTCAAATAAATTCAAGTTTGTGCTATAGATGACTCTTAAGACAAAAATTTTAAAAGATGCCCTTCTAGATGTAAAATGATGGTTAGACAATAAGCAGAGCTTGTCCTGCTTAAGCCAAACTGCTTTAGAAATTAAAGCACAGTGTGGTCATTAGTCTATACCTTTGACTCCTGTCCAGTTTGTTATGTTGACAGCACTTCTTATGTATCTCATGCACTAGTGACATCATTGTTTTGCAAGCCTTTGGGGAAAAAAGGTCACAGCTCCACTCTTGTTCATCACTTGTCAATGTTTTGAAGAACTGATATAGCAGTAGACAGACACATACAGAAAATAAGCTGGGATAATCCAGGGTGCTGGCTTCCAAGTATTTCAGTACATGTTTTCTCAATAAATTAGCCTATAATTTACGTTCTAAGTTACATATATGACTCTTTATTCTTAAAGTTCTGCCATCTTTTGTCCCAGGGGTTCTTAAAAGACTGTTAAATACTGCAAAAGACAGTGACAGACCTTGCCTAATTCTTATAAATAGATTTGTATGAATTGTTCAGAGATTCACAGATTTCAGGTCTGTGAATATGTAATAGAGCCACAGAACTATTACTCAAACTACAAATAATCGGATGAAGAGAGCAACACTCCTCCTCAAATTTCTGCCAAACTGTTGAATTGATGGACTATCCTGGGAGAGTATCCATCACTGAGCTGACATTAATTAGTCCCCAAAGTGGTTATTGATCAAGCATCAAGTATTCACTGAAAAGAGAGAGCAAGGTTGTAATTTTGCAGATGGTGACCTGTCAACATGACAGATACGCTGCACTTCTCTGCAGTGAACAGGCATTGTTAAATGCATACTAGTCCCTTCTTAAAATTAAACAATGACTTTACCTCCTACTAATTTAACAAGCTTATCACCAAAGCTCCAATGATGTAAAATACATACTTCTGACAGACAATGAAATGAAGCTACAAGCAGTTGAAAAAGATTATGCGACCCAAAATACCAACCCTCCCAGTTGCAGCTGATGGGCCGTGCATATAAACTCCTCATACTAAATGCAGAAGAGCATCATTTGCAAGCGCTCAACAAGCAGGCTAAGGGCAGAATGCAGTGCACACATCCCAGGGAAGGGCCTGTTAGAGGCAGCCCGGGGAGAATTATTTTATTTAAACCCACAAGAGTTATCCAGGCAAATCCATCAAGCAAGCAGCAATTAGTGATGCCCTTTTGTGGGGGAAAATAGAGGCAGCGTTCCTGCAACAAGGCTCTAGTTCTCATTTTCAGTGCTCTAATAGGAACTTCTGTTTTAGAGAGCTTCTCAACTCAAAGCACTAAAATCTAATACTTCAAAGTTAAAATATATCAAAATTATCACATGCTGCCCACAGGAGCTTTATTTTTTTACAGTAAAACTGAATAATTAATATTTTTTCACAGCGTTTCTCAGGAAATAGGCATTCAATGGAACGGTAGTTCATCTCTGCTGTAATTATTGTGTTTGAATTTTTTCAGAATTGTCTCAGAATTGTAAGTAGTGAGTTCTTACCAGAAACTGCAATTGCATGGGGTTCAATAAATCAGGTTAGTTGGTGCTTTTCCCAAGAATTACATAAAATCTTATGCCAATTTCACTACCTCACTGGCTGCTAGCAGTTAAGTATGCTCAGCATTATATATTTTCCTAAGTCTCTTCACATCCAACCCAGCCTCTGATGTGGTTCCAGGAATTGTCACTGATATATTATTACCAATACAGAATTACTGATCTCACCATCCTTCAGATCCCTGGTGCTGCAGTAAATTAGGCTAAAATCTTCTATAAGGTATCCAGATCTGTGTTACTTTGGCAAAGAAAGAAGAAAATTTGGCAACAACTACATTGCAAAATTAAACAGCCAAGATTTTTAATGACTAAGATAAGGCAATGGAAAATGCAAGTGGCACAGCTGCCCTAGTCTTATTTAATATTAAATTGTTTGCTTTGGACTGTTCCCACTTTTTGATTTTTTCAGTAAGCCTTAGATGTATATTGCTTATGAAAAGGGTGATGCCATGTACTGTAATTTGGAAAGCCAAATGGGAGATGTGAAAATGTATT